GAGACTCGTCCAAATTTGAAAGAGGGCAGATCGTTGGTGCTCGTTCAGGTGGAGCATCTGTGACAAAAACTGACACAGTTTCTATGGTCATGTCGGTATACACGAATCACGGGAAGATAACATCTGTGAAGAGGTACAGTGGACGAAAACCAAAACTGACAGAAGGAGATCGTTGTACAATGAGAAGGATTATTTGGAAAAATCACACAACTACTGAAGCACAGGTGACAGGACAACAGAACTGAATATTTATCTTGAAGACCCTATTTCCACAAAAACTGTCCGACGTGAGTTTCACAAATCCAATATCCACGGTAGGGCTGTAATTGCTAAATTTGTGACTAATGAGAATAACACTCAGATGCGTAAACGATGGTGTCACGACCATCAAACATGGACATCAGACAACTGGAAACGCGCACGTGATATGGTCAGATGAGTTGTCCTTCACGCTGTTCCCTACAACAGGAAGAGTTTACGTTTGGAGAACATCCTAGGAATGCCTGGTTCCATCAGTGAAAAGAGGAGGAGGTTCTAAGACGGTTTGGGCAGCTGTATCATGGTACACTATTCTGTTGGTCCCCATTGTTACCCTTCATGGTCGGCCTACTGCAAGGGAGTAGGTGGACAGGTTTGGAAATCAGGTGTACCCCATAATCCAAATGTTATTTTCTGCAGTACTCGAAGATGACAGTTTCCCCATTCACATATCTGCACATTGGCCAGATTTTGCAAAGTGCTTTGGAGATGAAGTATACCTAGAGAAACTAGCCTACTTAGCGGACTTTTTCATCATGTGAACCAGTTGAACGGGTTTGTGTAAGACCTCAGAAAAAATGTTTTGACTTCAAGTGACAAGATTCTTCGATTTAAAAGGAAACCGAATCTTTGGAAAAATCGTATAAAGGTAAAGGTATCTCTGTACCGGGTCTTGGAGGTCCATAAGGTTGTGAGACGTCGAGATTCCCACACTTTCTAGACGGTTGGTACACAGATAGCGACGATGTTTCCAGGCTTACGCGTCGGCCGCCATTTACCCCCATTATGATTCCTGGTACTCATTTCTGTTAGAGGCTCACAGTGAGTCGACCCCAGGGCCATAGTGTGAAAGGAAATCTTGAAATGTTTCCACTGCTGCTGGGGCCTGAGGGTGAAGAAGGATATCAGCAAGTCTTGAGTCTTATTGGAAACCACCCTGAAGACCTGCAGAACTGTGACCATGAGCCCAGTGAGTTTGAGGCATGACAGACTCAAATGAAAAGCCGAACGTTTTTCGGTTGTTCGTTTCCTAGGTCTGATAGATCGATACTCCTTATTTTCAGCTGCCTTAACCGGTTAGGCTCTTTGGTCTGTTCCCATTCAGAATTAATTATCAAATTATGACACCTATACACAGTCGGTAGGACTCCATGGACGGGTGATCAGCACGTCGCAAGGCCGTTACCTACACAGGACAACACAAACACACAAAAAAATGCAGACACACTTCTATGCCTCCAGTGAGATTCAAACCCATGTTCCTAATGTTCGAGCAGACAAATACATTAAACTAATATTTCACTACAAACATTTGACAGCCACCGAGCTGTAAACCCAACAATAAACAAAGAAGTCACATTTTTATCTGTCCATTTGTACGAAACCTTTCATTTGGAACAATTGCTAAGTATTCAACTACACACTACGAAAGATCCATCAGATTTCCTTGTAGATTCTAGAAACATGACAATGTAACAATATCACTGTTTCTTCTTATTCGGGAGGTTCCAAGTTCGAACCTTGGAGATTCCTCGACCCTCGATCTTCCCATCAGCCATACAAGAAGTTTTCAGTTTTGGCATAATAAATTACTTCGACATTCCAAGTCACCATTCCTAATCAGCGTATCGTTTCTCAGTCCATGCTACATGTCTTCTGTAGCTCATACAATGTCACTAAATAAACTAACTTGACAACCACAATCGTTTATAGTAGTTTCTCTCAACTGACAGATGCATCTCACTGATGGGCCTTGACGATCGGCTGTATAACGTGAGATCTCGGAAACAGTAATTAATTCAGTCACATAAAAACACTTCTTAATTTTAAGCACAAATGTATCATTACTGCCGTAGTATAACCGCATTTCTGCTAACAGAAATGTGGGGCTTATTTCTACATAAACATAGTAATAAAACGTAATGCCAAGGGCTGTTACAATTTTTAAGTCTTAAGAAATGACGTTAATGATTCAAAGAGCATGTTAATAAATGTGTAAATGGAAAGAGAGTAACTTTGTTCTTATTGTCGCTTTGTTCTTATTGTCACGTGTATGTGTGTGACTCTAGACGGGGTTGGGATTGGTAATCGGATTTATTGCACACTTATACTGCTACATTTCACAAATCACTGTCGCACATAGACTAGTCGTTTCCTAGTAACGGCTCTTAACAGTGGAGATTTTTTAGCTTCCGCGCTCACTTCGTTGTCCACTGGCTACTACTGCTCGATTCTCACTCATTGCTTCAAATGACTAACTCCCAGGGTGGCGGTCATCTCACACCAACCCCCTGCTCATCTTCTCACAGACTAACTTCTGACTGACTAACTCGCAGGGTGGCGGTCATCTCACACCAACCCCCTGCTCGTCTTCTCACAGACTAACTTCTGACTGACTACAGCTCGGCTGGTGTTCTCGTTATATAACCCATTGACATGGACCGCGTGAAAAAACGCCGTTTCCAAAAGTTCCTCTATTGTTACGCATGGGCTCGCCGTGGAAACCTGTTTGTTTCGCTGTCGCTACCTAGTAACGGGTCTAGACGCTAGATTATTATAGTGGGATTGCAGATTATTGACAAAATGGCCGATAGGATGAAGAATGCGAAATACTAAGAACCGTTAGTTGAAATTGTTGCACTTCTCAACCACAGGTTCTATTTCCGCCTCGTGTATTGAGAACTTATTTCATGCGTACGAGTAACTGATCAAAATCTATAGAGATAACACGTCATTTCATCTTCGGTCGACCGTTTATGAGTATCCAGTTCACAGGAAATATGATATATTGCTATAGGGAACACGAAGTTTCCTTGTCGAACCACTTGCTGGATGTAGAGAGTCACTGACACCCGACATGTAGGCAGAACGAAACATTTTTCCATGGCATTCTTTCTAGAGATAAAAATGTCGATTATCACAGATATATTCTAAAAATAACCCTCATTTAGGGTACGAAAATCTGTGATAAACTGTTTAAACCCTCAGTCGCCTTGCTGATTGATACTGTTTTCTGATCCTCTCAAGACGCCTTTGATAGCAGAAGACTCCAGGCACACTTCTGCCGCCGTGTGGTCTCGCTGGAGACCAGGTTCAATTTATCCCAAACAGGAACTTCTAGACACGTGTCTATAAGGTGGAATTGTATGTTACAGGATAAATTCATTTATGCTACATTAATTAAAATGTGAGCTACAAATATCAATTTGAAACTAAAAGGACACGCTGTAGAACTGTATGCTTTAGTTACCGTATTTACGCATGTATAGGCCGCACATTTTTTGCCAAAAATTCAAGAGGAAAACTGGGGTGCGGCTTATAATCGAAATATTCGAAATCACACGTCATTTAAAAAAAAATTATATTCATAATTAGTAATACAGGGTGTAATACTCCTGAAATAATATTCCAAGAAAATTATTTTTCTATAATTTCTGTCTGAAAATTGTGCTGCGGCCTATACATGCGTAAATACGGTATATGCATCTTATAAAAGGTCGGCAGAAGTCATGGTCTTCTGGGGAGAGATCCTATGAGATCAAGGAGAGTAATTGATAATAATTTTACAGTACAAGTTACAATTTAAAATATTTATGGTGTGCATTAAATTTTGATAAGCTTATGATAAAGGTAAAGGTGTATAACTACATAAGATCCAGTCAGAATGCAGATCAATGAATTGAAAGTTGGAAGGTGACACACGAAGCTTTACAAAACTAAAATTATATAAGGTTATAACTACATGTACGTCCCACATATTGAAAACTATCTGTAGACATCGGTAGGATAGAGGCTGCAAAATTAAATTGCTATGTAAAGTAGAAATTTGTGCATATCTGGATAGTATTATCAGCGGAAGAGTAAATAAAACACGTTCTTCTTGCATTAACAAACCTAGGATACAAACTAATATGGAAAGTCTGGATAATAATAGGATACCTAAAATTGTATGAGTGGAAAAGAAACAATTTGATATGAACACTGTGTCTTGCTTTATTTGCTGAGAATTAAAAGTAAAGTGGTTACTATATATATATATCACCCATTTTCACGTTAAAGAACTCTGCATTTTTGCCCGAAGATTTTATTTGTGATGTTTTTGAGTGTTTTTTCTCAGAATATACAGCGATTATTTCCCTTAACATAATTAACGGACTGATCTATTAAATGGAGACGTAATTTCTTTTCTGTGAGGCATGAACTGAATTATTACATGTTATTTACATGAATGTCATACTTCCAGTGGTTGAAATTATATTCGAAACCTTCATATACGTGTGTCAAGTAACATTCTTCTTCAATAAGCATCTCGAATTCAGTTTTTCAACAATAATTCGCAGATTGTGGTAGTGGAGTGTTTCTTCTTCATGTAAATTTTTCATTTTTTTGGGCTGTGCACCTGTTTACTTGATGAATTGTTGCTGCCTCAATATTTGTCTTATCTCGTTACAGCTTTTGAGAAAAAGAAATTGTAGTGGTTATAAATACCCTATCTTGTCGGTCGCTTTCAATTCATAATACAAAGATGCTGTATAAATTAGAGGGATAAGATAATATAGTGTGAGTAAAATTGAATCCAATTTGAACCCTGTTCTTAACTATCTATTATACAACTTTAATTTTGCAGTTTTAGTGGTAATATATAAGACACAGATGAAAGAGATCCCCTAAATTTGCGTACTTTAACCAATAACTTACGATTAGGAGGATTCAGACCGTTGGAGTTAAGAAGATCCACTTACCGGTGTACGTAAGGGGCGCAATGTCCTTGCTGAGCCTGTAGTTGGCTGGCTCCAGTCCGCCTCCGGAAGTCATTGTTTGCAGCTTCGCTTTGAGCGACTTGCAGGGGCTCAGAAGGAAGCGTTCAAGCAGGTGGTCGAGTTGGGCCTGGAGCTCAATTTTGGCGGATTGAGTCTACACCAAGTAACTGGACACTTCCGGTCCAGCAACAGTGACGATACAACGGTAAGGGAAGGAGTTGCAACAGTGGGGTCACTAAGGACACAGCGGCTTAAGAGGGAGATAGGAGGAACAATTCCGCAACAATGACTAGGAAACTAATGATTCAACTTCAGTGAGTAGGTTAAATGGAAAAATCTAAAAATGGAATCAGGGAAGGATCGTGATACTTAACGGCCTTACAGAAGAGAAACAACAGAGAGGTAAGCAGTGTATTGCAGTGCAAGAATTAGCGAGATGAATTTGCTGGGAATTTCCCCGAAAAAGGAGACTGAAGAATGGCTTCTTGGAATTTTAATGCCAGGGAAAGTTACTATTGGAAAGGGTTTCTGTGCGGATATTTGAACTAAGGCCGTGAGGATGAATGCTAGTGGATGGGGGTCTACTTGTTAAGATATCTACCAGAGGACGTAGTAATCCAGATGTATGGCCGCATGTAGGTTGGACGGGGAGCACGCTACCAGGGCGGTGTGTGGAGACGCACTGAGAGCTGCCTACATTCAGGGGCGGGCTCCTGTTGGGCGGGGTTGAAAGTATGAACAGGCGCAAGACCGAGAACACGGCGATTGGTGAAAGAAGCAGGAGAAGGGAAGGGGTAAAATATACTGGGGGACGTGGGAGGCTCTGGTATGAACCACGACAAACAATATAGCCCATTGGAATGTCTGTGAAATTCGTTATATTTTGGGAGATCAGGGGAAAATATTAAGCAAAAACATACAAAATGAAGAAAGCCGTCTTCTGGGATGCAACGCTGTGTAGATATTGTGTTAACCGACGCTTCGGAGGATTTCGTGGATTTTCTTTTTTCTTCTATCCTGAAGATGGAGGCAATACGTTCCTCCAAAATGTCGATTAACACAATACCTACACGGCGCCACATCCTAGAAGACAGCTTTCTTCATAGTCACCCCCCGCAAAAACGTCAAATCTTACATAAACATAAAAAATATTTAATGGACAAAAATGTTAAGCATTGAAATATAATAATTTGTCGCAGAGTTCAGTCTAAACTATTTCGTTTTTTGTGGTCATAGAATAAAGTGCCTGGAAGTGAACCTAGCAACGTTTTATTATTTAATTTTGTTTTCTGGTCTTAAGAGAGGTAATATATGATTTTACCTTAAGGACAGCCCCTGCTGCTACTCTCTGGCGTCGCTACGGGATGTTTGCAGTGACAAAGTTCGACGGAAAAAGAACCTTGAAATAGATTTCTGATGTTCAGAAGATGGTGATGATGAATAGACAGGCAAGAGACGGCCATGTTTGTTGTACAGACATATCATCTAAGTGTTTTGTTACTACAATGACTGACTTCTTGGATAATATCCATCATCCTGTTTTATTTAAAACATCGTTTCGGAGACTGAACCCTGCGCCCATCCTCAGGTAAAAAGTATATTTGTTTGAACCTAATCGATATAGGTCCCGAGATATGGAATGGGCCGAGATGAATAAGCTTCTATAGATAGAGTTAGTCCCTATTACTGGATAATCTATCGGTTGCGCCCAAATGAGTAAGCGCTTTATCTGAAGACGGAGACACAGTTCAGTCTGTGAAACATTGTTTTAAATAAAAATAGGACGATGGATAATGTCGATTAAATCGATCATTGTGCTAATACACTGTCGTCACGAAATTTTAGATCTTGTTAAGTTACTGTGGAGTCAGGACTGAGCAGAACTGACCTAACAGAGCTCTATTCTGTCTTGATGACAGAAAATGAAATAACCACGAAAAGGCCGTGGTATACTATCCAAGTGCTGATATGTTGGGTGTTTGGACTTTATCCATCGTCCTGGTTTTTAAGATAACAAATAAAAACACGACGTTTCGGAAACTGGATCTGTTTCCGTCCTCAGGTGAAGGAAAACACCTATTCAGTTGGGTCCCTTAGAAAGNTAATGTCTGACGATGAAACGGCTGCAATGGGAAGACTTTAGAAACCACTGATTCCTGTGGCTAATGCATACGCAAATGACGATGGATTCCTAGACGGAATTATGCTCTTGAGGATTAAATTGGTTGATCCGGCTGTGGGTGGATACAGAATTTGGTTTAGCCATGGTAAACTTGCAGATTCTGCAGTACTTTTAATGTCGTTAAATGAGTCAGTAATAGTCCAGAATTTCATCTGGTATTCATATTACTGTGGGCATGGGGTAGCATAGTTGGTTGAGGCACTATGCTACAAGTCAGAAGGTCCCAGGTTCGAGTCCCGATGAGGTAGATTTTTTCGATTTACCTAAGCCTTCCAGCCTCACTGTGGCCCTGGGGTCGTCTCAACCTCTAACAGAAATGAGTACCAGGAATCTTCCTGGGGGGTAAAGGGTGGCCGGAGCGTAAGGCTAACAATCTTACCGCCATCTGTAAGTCGATTTTCTAGATCAGGGGTCTCCAAACCTTTCGAAATGCGGCCCACATTAGGTAATTCAGCAATTCCAACGGGCCGGATAAAATGGTTTTATTGTTTTATTTATTTATTTATGAGTTTTATTGAAAGCACAGAATTTCATAAACTAAATACAAAGTACGTGAGAATAAATTATCGTATATCAGTGACAACAGACAGTAGCAGCAAATGCTCATATTTTCATCACAAATTATAATAAAACAATTAATGTGAATGATGGAACTCTTTTTCCATTCTTAAAATCTGATTAAATTGAGGTTCAAATTTTGAAACGCTAATCACAAGTAGCGACTTTAATGCTCATCGGATAAATTTGCCCTGTATTTCGACTTGATGTACTTCATCTGGGAAAAAGTTTGTTCCCAAAAATGGAGATAAATTTACAAGCANGAAATTGTTTTTTCAAATCTAAAATGACCAAATTTGCAAACAAGGAAGGAAATTCTGCTTCACCCTTTTTATGCAGCTCTGCACAGTATGACATATGAATAAAGTTACAATTTACAATTTTTCACTTGGTTTTCCAGAAGTTTCAACTTTGCTCTGAATGCCTTGATAAGTGCAAATAAATCACAGACTAAGTTATTTTCACCCTGAAACTTTAATTCCAAATTGTTCATATGGTTCAAATGCTAATTTCCAAAGCCACTCGGAATCTGATAAAAATGGTTGTGCATAATATTAATATTAACATAATATGGAATATCAATATATTTTAAACTCAATCTTAATTAATGAATTTGAAATCTATGAACAAGTATTTTTTTACCAGTACTCATTGGAAAATTAGCTCAATTGGCGCATTTCTGCACAATTCTTTCGCGGGCCGGATAAAATCACATCGAGGGTCGGATGTGGCCTGCGGGCCGTAGTTTGGAGACCCTTGGTCTAGATAATGTGGGACCCTCAACGTCTCACAACCCTATGGGCCTCCATGGCATGTTACAGGGATAGCTTTATCTTTTACCTATTCATATTATTGAAATTTGGGGTACGTTTGTTTTGAAGTGAAAAGAAGCAGCAAAATTGTGAACATTAACTTGACCGCTCATTAATATGGGAGATTGTTCCTTAATGGAATCATAAATCATTGCTTCCGTATTTACCACGTTAGCTGAGCCATAATTCTAACTGACGTACAGTCACTTCTCGATATTTTTTCGGCATAAAAATAATCCACGTTATTTGTCAACCCTGATTAAAGACCGGTGCCGATCCCAGTGGCCCCAGGGTATAAGGCATGAACTGTCTTCGCTCTCTCCAGCACTGGGGTCGTGGGTTCGGATCCCGCTTGAGGCATATATGTCTGTGTACGTCTATTATGTTTATGCTGTCCTGTGTGCAGGTAGTGGCCTTGCAACAGGCTGATCCCCCGTCCAAGGAGTCCTACGGATTATGCATAAAGTTCAAGGAACTGAGAAAGCGGCCAAGGTCAAACAAAGGGCTGCAGAGCCATAGATAGGTGATTGAAGATTTTCCTGAGAAAGTTCAGTCTACATTCCTTCGTTTATAAGGACATGCAGGCAGTGGTATATTTGTCCATGATATATATACAGTGTCCGTCTTGCAGTGCATCCACTTTCACCTGTCACATCACAACATGTTTCGGCACCATAGTGCCATCATCAGGTGATCCATTTACACTAATCTATTGCATTGCATGCCATTATGTCAATGTAAAATTATTTAAAAAGTATTTTAAAATATTCGTTAGTTATAATAACACATAGTGTTACGTATTGTATTCACGTCCGCGTGTCCGTCCTCAAAATGACTTTCGAAACATTTGACGGTTTGTCATTAATCTTGATATCACAGTCATGGCGCTGTAGGCTGTCTCGCCATTGCATTTTCAAGTTTCTTCATAGATAATATTAGCATGACGACCATGCGAACTTGTGTGAAGTACGCCATTCTAGCGTCACTTATTGTACGGCCCTAAACCTTTGTCTGGTAATGGTTCTTCTAAGAATATGTAACTTCTTAAATGTCATGTTTGTGTAACATGAAGCAATAATATGGCGGCCACGCGAAATCAATTTTTTTATTCACATAGTGGAGGGTGGAATCCAGCTGTGTCCACTCGGCACGTCGGCCACTGATTGGCCTATTGTACCTGCCCCGGGTGATTTTGATGATGAAAGATTTGGTAGAATGAAGACTGGTAAGGGAAACCGAAGTACTCGGAGAAACCCTGCCCCAGCGCCACTTTGTCTACCACAAATCCCAATTGACCAGACCCAGGCTCGAATCCGGGCCGCCGCGGTGGAAAGTCAGCGACTAACCGCTTGAGCTATGGCGCGGCCTACGCGAAATTTATATTTATCTTTCGGGTTCCATTGCTGTAACTACTGAAACTACCAAAACAAATGAAATATAATATGATTTGAAGGCGGAGATTTTACAACATTGTCTGTATGTACACTATACGTGTATGTAGCGTCGAATGTTAGGATGAATGATGAACTGAAATGTATTTGGAAGGAAGCGAGCGTAGCGTAATCGGGTATTATCCCGAAATGTGTCTGGATTGACTAAGGAAGACCACGATGTACCTCACAATGACTGGTGTCCCGCTACCAATACACAGCCCACTACGTGAACCATTGTGTGAAGAGAAACATATGCCACTTACGAATTCTGCGTAAGATATTTTTAAATATTTTTACGTTTAGAATCACGAAGAAGGCCCGAAACTTTGTGCTCATATCTGAGAAATTGGTAGCGGTGGAGATAAAGCCATTACCGCTCCTTGCAACCTCGTTACACCGAGCGAAGCCTCAGGCGGAAATCAGTTGTCGTGAGGCCTTCGAGAAGTGTTAAATTACTGAAGCAGTTGCCTATGTAAGCGCCGGGATAGCCCGAAGAACGAGGATGCAAGAAATAAATGGTTGTCATGATCTGTATAAATGTTCTTATATTGTAGCGTGTACAGCCGTTCCTATGCAATAGACGGATAGACAACGGCGTTATGCAACCCGTTTCTAGGCAATGGATCAGTAAACACACTTCCCCGGACAACGAACACAAAAATAAAACTGCTGTTGGGAACCGTG